TACAATGTGCTTATGCTGAGCCCAGGAACAAAAAGGGGTTGACCCAGTGGGCTGGAAGCTCTAATGCAATGTTAAATAATATTAATCTTAATAGCAACCTGTAGTATTCATAAAAAGCCAGTAAATCTGCCCAGATATATCTGTGCTGGCACAGTCTGATGTATCATGTGGCCTGACCCTGCTCTCAAGGAAGCCAGGAACACACTATTACTGGTTTTACAAGGACAGTGGCTGGATTGAAAAGTTGCTATCTAGGAAAATTTCGAAGATTTAAAAATGTTCAATTAAAAAAAAAAACCATCCTGATCTACCACTCTGGGGAAAGAGTGAAAAATTTCAAAGGATTGGGGAAAGTGAGGCTTCACCAGAACAGGACTGTTTTGAGGGAGGACTGATGGGTTGGAGGTAGATCCTTGCTGACAGTGGCAGAAAGGCCAATCTGTTCCTTTTCCTGCCTCTGCCTCCTCTCCTTCATGGTACTCAGCTATTTTACCCAGTTGATCCCAGCAAAAGTCTATTTGAAAATGAGACTTCCCCACAGAATGTTTTTGCCATTGAGAAGCCACCATTTTCCAAAGGGTTGATGTCAGAAAAGTTCCACCTGAACTGAATACTCAAGAATTCCACGCGATGAAGCCTTTTTTTCTGGCTGATAATGTGGTGAGCACAAGCCTTGGCTTGGCTGGTAAATCCTGCTCACAGAACTGTGGTGGAACCAGTGCAGGCAGCCACATCCCAGCATGGCTCATTCTCCTGAGAGGCTCTCTCAGCTTTTAATATTTGTTGCTAAGAAGAAATGAAATTTGCAGAGCGAACTAAATTCTCTAAAATATAATGTTGGGCTACTAATTCAGCAATTGTCCTTGACCACGTAACACCCACATTGGCTAATAGTGGAATCTGATGTTCAGAGCAGCTCCTGCTGCTTCAGAGGGATGAGAAAATAAAATCCACAGAAGGAAAAAAAAATCTTCTATTTTGGTATACTTAACACATACAGTTATCTACGTGTCCTATATATCATTTAACAAATTGCTTTGCAATTCTTACAGGGCGTGGTATAATGACTGATTTAAAATCACTGCATTGCTTAAACTGCATTGTTCTTCATCAAGTTGAGTCATTTTTATGTGAAGTGTCAAGCTCTCTAACAAATAACTGCTGCCAGACAAATCAAGTTCCTCATCTTAAAGCTACGGCTAAATAGTTTATAGCTTTAATCTGCTCACTGAGGTGTGCAGTCTATGACAGTAATTATAAATGCAAGGAGAAATTATAGCTGAATGCTTTAACTGCATTAGGAGCCATTTGATGAACAATCATGATTGCCTGCTCATTTTCAACAATAGAGGGCAAGTTAGTGTCAGTGCATTAGAGGATTTTCAGTTCTGCTCTGCTCTTTCTTCCATTTACCACAGAATGTCAGTTGTCTCCTATAAAGTAGGGGGGAAAAAAAAAAAGTGCCGGAGAAGCTTTAAACTTGATGGTTAAAAAAAGACAAAGGAGGAAACGGAGAGAAAAACTGTTTATCATTATGACTCATTTTTTTTTTAGTTTTGCAGCGGCCTTACTTTCAAATTGGTTCATCTCAGGTAGCTGCCTGTTTGCCTATCGGGGTCTTTTGAAACAGAAATCTCCCCCATCAGGTTGGTAAATTTGACTTTATAGAGACTTATTTCTGTAAAAAGTAGTAGCTAAGGCCACAGAAAGCCTCAGTTAGAGCCCAGTTTCGAGCCAATCTCACCTGACTCTGAAGTGAAAAATACAATTCCGCCTTGCCTTTTTCCTCAGAAAAACATAAAAATTCTAATTTAGTTGAAAAAAAAGAATAAATGCTCTTCAAAGGTAGAAGTCAACATACAAATTACTTCTAATTAAAGCCATGTTCCCTAATGTTTATGGGTTTTCTTTGAAGAATAGCAATAAAAACAAATTTGAAGTGGGTTAAATGAAAGAGAATGGAGATGTCTGATTGTTGTATATTACACATAATCTTACTTTATATTACTAAACCCATATCAGTTAGAGGAATTCAAGAAAACACCAAAGATGAATATAAAATAGATATATATGTCTTTACATTTAAGAAGAATTTATAGCAAATTTCTTACAAACAGCCTCACAGAGGTCTTAAAAATAAATCCATATACATAACACATTTTTCTACAGTACTAACCCAGATTATTCATTTATATTTTTAATGATAGCTAACATTTGAAAATATAACATCTAATAGTAAATGCTGTTGAAATATAAAGTACTTTATGTATTTTTATACTTCGGGTACTCTTTCCACTGTTTTATTTCCATTCATTTCAATATATATTCTCTATTTTTATTTTTATTTCACCACGGTATTGCCTAGAAGAAGGAAACACAAACTCTTATGTGTGTTTTAAGGATCTCAGCTTCATATTCCTTGTTTCTAAATACTGTGCTCTCCTCTAGGTTATTATTCAAATGTCTACTGGATCTCAAAAAATAACATGGTAAGGGTAAGTAAACCCTGAAAATCCCTGTGATTTGATTTAGTCTCCTTGCAGATCTCAGGAAGAATCCATCTGAATAAACTCTGGCCTCCCCACTCCCAACCCAGTGAGAACTTCAGGAGGCTCACGGCTCCGAAACTGTAATAAAATCTTTACAATGCCATCCCAAATACCCCATCATTTCAGACAATTTGTGCTATCATGCATACCAACTGAAATTATAGCTCCAGATAACAGTGCTATCACTCTGCCATTGCAATTTAAATATATTTTTCCGAAGGTAAGATACAACCTGCATCTCGATATAAATTAGAAATGGATGAGTATTAAGAGGACAGCAATTTCTCGGTATCCAGAGGCAGGAAGGACAGTACCTTATTTATGTAGTTACACATCAGCTGAATAATATGTCTGTGTGCAGGTTATTACAATGCAGAAACCACACTTTTTTTTTTTTTTTTCCCTTGGAGACTTCTCCCCCCCTGTGTATTTGTTCCTCACATGCTCAGCAATGTGTTTGTAGAGGTGGGTGTTTGGTTTGCCTCTCAGTAATAACACAGTGCTTTTAAGACCAAATCTGAACCCTTTGTCATGTATTAAGCCATGAATGTGCCCAAATAACTGTTGTATTAATATATTTGGCAGACAGCTTTTGTTTGATAGTACCCAAATTATTGGTTTGCTCTAATATCTCCTGTGTGAAGACTATGAATGGCAGAGTCTTAATAATCACTAACTGATGGGGAAGGAAATAAAGTGTGGTCTGTGTTTTTCTGCCCAATCTCTCTGGTATTTTGTCAGGTGTGTTGATTTTGAATGGCCAGCTAAACAAGGAACATTTATTTGTTGAGTCCTAATGCTGGGTTAAATGCCAAAACAGAAACTGGAGGGTATTAGGCCTGTTTGGAAAGCAAACTCCTTTTGAGTAAGACAGCTAAAATATGCAGAAATAAATCCATTCCAGTGCAGACAGCACGTACAAGATGTATGCAAAACTTAAATCTTATTGCACTTGAACACTGACGTTGTACTCCACAGTAATAGCTTCTATTACCCATCCCAAAGTAACCCTTTGATTAGTGGTTTAAATTATTCAAAAGTAGCCTTTTTAATGGAGCTTAAGTGACGCAGAGTCCTCGTGCTGGCTCTGTCCACAGAAAGTGTTTCCTAAAGCTTCATGAATATTTGCAGGCAACACATGGGAGAGCTCCACACAAACGGGTATTCAGCCCCTGCACCCTCAATTAGCCAGAGAATGGCCACAATAACTGGGGGATCAGTGAAAACTCACAACACATCTTTAATTTTGACCATCTGACGAATTCATTTTCCCGATGTTAATCAAGTAATGAACACGTTGGAGAAGCCCTGAATCTGCACATGATTATTCTGTGAACAGAAGCAGAGCCTGAGTCTGCTGGAGGAATTGCTGGGAATGACTAAACAGAGCCTTCCTGGAAAAAAACCCCGTTAGAACAAAAAACTTCTATTTGGACTTTAGGTTGATGTTCTGCATATTTATTTAAATCAAGAATATTCAAGTTTGTGAATCAAGTAAAATTAAAAATGCAAAAAATGGTGTGTCATCTGAATATTACATTACATGTTATAAACATTGGTTGTGGCAACTGGTGTATCTTTCAGCAAAAAATAGCAACACTAATGTAGAAGTATCCTACTAACAGGGCTTGGAAATATTAAGCTTGTAAAAAATCTCGCTGCTTTTTCAATTAAGCTTTAACCCCCCCAGGTTATACCCAAACTTGCACTGAAGTCAGCGATGTTTATGGATTGACTCCCACCAACATGAAGCAAAATAGAATCAAACATCTTCAAGATTAAAAAAGGAGTGATGGAGAGAGAGGTTAAAATGATGTGACAAAAGAGGCCACTCACAGTAGCAAGTGTTTAAGGAAGTGTAAAATATTAAAATATTTTACAAAACTGAACATCCAAATATCAACAGAAGAATAACTGAACTTTAGATAGGAACTTTTCAGAGTTATTGGTAGATTTTCGAGGCTGTCTTTGAGATTATGAGAAACTTGGAATAATTGAGATTTTGCTAATTTGACTTTTGAATTGTCTTCTTTTTCCCCACCAAAATCAGATTTACTGGTCTGTCAGCACTGAAAGAGGTAATAACCTTTTGGGTTTCAGTGCTCTTTACCTGCTTTTTTTTCCACTCTCACTGCAAAGAGTAGCACTAAGTCCTTGCATTCCGCATTCGGATGTGAAATGATTTATTCTTAGAAACAAAAGAGAACTGGGAAAACAGCTATTTTGAGCATATTAATAAGCAGCAACTTTTCTCTATGGGGCAGTGTGGTTCTGCATTTACCAAGCTCTCTTCTTGAAAACACTATAAAATGGATAAGTACATGTGCTTAGATTAACGGCGCAGGAGCACGTTATGCATTTTATACTGTTTTCCTACATTAAGAAAGTACGAAGTTCTTATGGAGCCTCCTTAAAACGATGAAATTAAAACTCACTATAGAGCATGCATACCTTAAGAGTTATTCTTCATCCACTTCTGCTACAAATTGTGAATGGTGTTCTGGTGACTTGCTGTGTGTTTTGCTTAGATGAAGTTTTACTGCATGTTTGCTCGCAAATGTCCGACAGCACAACTTACATTTGAACTTAGAGTCTGTGTCCTCTTCCCCAGCTATTGTTTCAGGAGATCTTTGAACTGAAACTCTGGAGATTTCTTGCTCTACCTTGGTTTGCTGCTCCACAGCCAGCCTGTTCATGTCTTTCATTTGGAAACCTAGGTGGGATTCTAAGTGGCTAATGTAGGTAGATGGGGTTCGGAACTGAGATGCACAGTCGCTGCAATAAAAGACTGGATGTCCTTTGTCCATGTTTTTCAAAAACTTTGTTCCTCCGGTTTTCCTAAGCTGATACTTGACATTTGCCAACCAGTGGCTGATGGTGGTCATCGACAGTCCAGTGAATTTGGAAATCTGCATGCGCTCCTGCGGGCCTAGATCTGATAATAAATATTTACCTTCAGATGTCTGGAAGAGGCTGGAAGCAAACTGAGCTTGCAAAATGAGAAGATGCTGAGGGTTCCAGTTTGACTGTCTGCCCTTCCTTTTATGCAGAGTGGAGACTTCTGCTGAGACATCCTCGAAGCGTCGGACATCTATTTCCAACTTCATGGACGGGATCCTTGAAGATGCAGCAGGTTTTGGTGTAGTAGCTTTGGGAAGAACTTTGACCATGTCGGCGATGTCAGACAGAGCATGTTTTTGAGGTGGAGAAGTACAAGATTGTGCTTGGGCTGACTCAGCTTTCTTGCCTTTGGATTTGGTCAGGTCAATAGGCTGATCATTGTTTTCGAACAAATAGTGCCTGGATACACTGGCAGGCTTTGGTGGGGTTGGAGCAGGAGATAAAACCGGCTTCTCCATCATATTTAGATTACTTTTGTGGAACATAGAAATTGTGCTAGAGCTGGGGCTGCAGTTGGCCTGAGACTGTAAAGGCTCAGTGGCTTTGCCCAAGTGATTGTTCAGCACCGACTGCAGCGCGCTGAGGGGGTTGACACAAGGCAGCTCCGAGGAGTGGTTGGCGGCAGCACAACCATTGCTGAGAGAAGCTGCTGGTGGCTCCTTGAGGACTGGTTTCTCTTTTCCACTGTCCTCTTTAATTTTGTCTTCTTCTTTCAAGGGACATGGTTCTGTCTTTTTTGGCTCCACAGAGGTTTCAGGTTTGAGGAGAGGTTCTCTCTCGCTCTGGCTGAGTGGAGCCGGCTCAGCTTGGACGCCCTCTTTAGCAAAGTCCTTCTGCACCTCCTCCTTGTCATCAGCCTCCTTCTTCACTTGAGTGCACTGGGCCACGTTTGCTGAGATAGGGACCAGAGGCATCACCTTCCACTTAGGTGCTATGGGCCTCAATTTATTGGTCATTGTGGGCCTGATTTGCAGCACTTGGGATCCCACTGGCAAAGATGGCTTAGCTCCCTCTGAGAGCTGGTAGGCTGCGTGGATGCTGGGGTATGCACTCCAGCTGGGAGCTCCATTTTGAGCTTTATTGATGGCTGTTGTGACAGTGTTCTCCAAGGACTTTAAAATGTCCCCACCACCCTTTGAACCATCTTCTAAATCCTCTTCTCGGAGGTACTGGTATTTCATTGTGGGATCCAGTGGCTTCTGAAGAGTGTCTTCATACTCCTCAGTTTTTACTGCTTTCTCATCTTTATTTGCATCATCAGCTTTATCTTTTTTACTCTCCTTTTTCAGTTCAGAGGTGGGAGCTGTGCACTCTGCAGATGATTTAATGATCGATTTTGAAACCGGGCTGTCATTGGCTGGTGCCTCAGACAGCGATTGCATTTTTTCCACAGCTAAAGGATCCAGAACAAGCTGCTTTCCTTTCTTTGAAGCTGAACTTGTGACTTTCAGGAAATGGCCCGTGACCATCATGTGGGTCGTGAGCTGCTGCAAGGTGTCATGGGAACTCCCACATTCCATGCACTTCAGAATCTGGGATTTGCAGGCCTCGAACTGCCACGTGTAGCTGGCACCGTTCTGGTACCCGTAGCGGTTGTTGGATGACAACTGCAGGTTCGTGTTCTTCTGAGGAGAAAAGGTATCCGAGAAAGACCCCGTCGTGGAGTCGGGGGAGCAAGGCCTGTTCACATCAAACACGCGTTTCTTTGCTGGAGTGACCATTTTGGAAGAAATGGTTGGTACCGGCTCCTTCAAAGGCACTTTTTGGTAATGTTTTGTTTTGATCATATGAACGCTCAGATCTTGAAGGGAATCAAAAGAGTCACCACAGAACATACACTTCAGAACTTTTTGTGCATCTTCCTTGTCCATGTCCTGGAAGGCCCTTTTCTGGGGCTTTGAGTAGCTGGTAGGTCTGTGCTTGTCCTTTTTGTGGTTGTCATCTTGGTAGTGGCCTGTCTCGTTCATGTGGACCGTGAGCTCCACCAGGGTGTCGTAGGCGGCGCTGCACTGCCGGCAGCGGAACCGGCTGGCGCCCGTGAACACCGTCCCGCACATCTTGCTGCTCTGCCTGTACAGCTGCACCGAGCTGAACAGGTTGGGCTTGGACACGGGCCTGGAAGGTAAGTTCTGCTGCAAGCTTTTGGACAGCGCGTCTTGGTGCCAATCAAAGTCAGCTTTGTTCCCTCCGTTTCTGTTGTCGCAACTCCGCTTCTCGGAGTTGGACAACTTGAAACCCAGCCCCAAGCCTGTCCAGTAAGAGTCCGACAGGATGTTGGCATAGACCGCTGTCATTTTGTCCATGCAGTCGTGTGCTTCGCTCTGGGATTTGGGATGGGTGCTGGATTTTGGGTCCTGGGGCTCTCTAGAGCAAATGCTTTTAATATCTGCCACATGGTCACTACCATCACTCAGCAGTGATTCGTTCTCTGCATCCTGGTTGGATATGTGACTGACAGGGGAGTTCTGGAAGCTAAAGTTCCCTTTCTGCTCAGGACCCACATCATGTTCCTCATCCGTGCCAGTGTCATTGCTGCCCTGGAGCTGAGCAGTTGAGTTGTCGTCATCGTCTTCTTCCTCCTCCTTTATATCTTCCTCTTCCTTTAAATCTTCCTCTTGGACATAACCTGAAATGTAATGTCAATATATGAAATAACCTGGTAAAGGAGAATGCTCCAGTTTCTAGTTTCACTATGTGTTTCCTTTACTGGATTTTGTTTTAATCTACAACTGTGTTCCCTCTTAGTTCTGGAAGTGAAAAAAGCCAATGATGTCTCTTTTTGTGAAGGTTGCTGCAGTCAGTTGGCAGATGATCATAATTCTTTATAACTGCCAGAGATCCCGAGTTAATAATTTTCCTGTCAGGGGAGTATAATTCTAACTGTTCTGTAATGGGACAGTTGGAAAATTCATATGTAAGTATTTAAAGTTTATACTAAAAGCTTCAATTCTGTGAAATTGTTTTTAGCCTCAGTGAGAGAAAGGGTGGAATTGGCAAGGAAAAGAAGAAAAATAGATGCCATAATATTCCTGGTTCAGAGCATCATGTAGGTACAGTCACCTTATGCCATTTGATCACCTAAAAATGCACTGTAGAATATACACAAATAATTTATATGTCAAAATACAAGATATGAAAGCATTAATAGGCATAAGTGCAACTCTTTTGTTTATAAAAGTAATGTACTGTGTAGCATAAAAACAAATTGCGCTTCAGTGAAAACAAATCCACAAATTTCAGAGCAAGAACCTTTGGAAGTTACAGCAGAGTATTAAGATATGAGAGGGGAAAACCAAAGTTAACGGTAAAACTGGAAAAATAAAACAAATCTGGAAGGATTTTCTTTGACAAATTAACTATTTAATTACTAAGATGAACCTGACACTAGAAGAACTGTAAATTTGAAGTTGATTAAGGAATTCAGGTGTTGGGTTTTTGAGGGGTTTTCTCATCAAAATTTCAGCAGGTCAGGTCTTCCCAGGAGATTGGTTGATGAATTTTCTCCAGGCTGCTTTGGTGTGTTTCCTTAAGATCTAGATTTTCCTATCAAGTAATTATGTAAAAAAAAAAAAAAATTTAAAAAGGCCCCCAAAACTAAGCCCCCAAATCAAAGATACCCTTAAAAAAAATAAAATAATAAAATAAAATTTTAGTAGTTGTAGTTGCAAGGGAACCCTGAAAGCTCAGAGAGCACAAGGAGCTGGACTTCGATGATCCTTGTGGGTCCCTTCCAACTCAGGATATTCTAAATTAGACTAAAAATGCTACTTATTTAAAATCCAATCCCTTCCCATTTTCTGAGACAAGCCATTTTATGGCTCTTTAAGAACCTGGCTCATTTTGTTTCCTTGAATTTGGTGCTCCTGAACAAATGATACCCTTTTAGCAAATCAAAAGGGATGGGCAGGAACAGTATAAATGTTTTGATTACCATCTGGGCAAAGCCTTCCAGAGCTTTTCCAGAAGTGTGTTTCAGTTTTCCAATCTATTTCCATGTGTATCTCACCCCTTCCAACACATTTGCCACCAAGCCAAAGAGATCAGAACTAGAGGAACCGTTCCCTGGATGAGGCTGCAGCATAAGAAGAGGGAAATGATGGCTCTCTGTGGATGGGCAAAGAAACCCACGTGAGACATCTTTCCTACACCCTTCCCACGGGCTTAGGAGCTGCACTGATCACTCTGGCTCAGAGCCAGGCTTGGCTTATTGCAGGGGTGGTGCCACACAGCTTCACAACCAAAGACAACAGCAAATGGCCTGGGCAGCACTTTAGCACGATAAAATAATAACCCCAGAGTAGTGGCAACACTGTGCTCTCCAGCAGATCTTTCGGCAAAGAAGCTGAATATTAAATATGAAGTGCTAAATACTCAGAAATACTCCTTTTAGGAGTGTGCTGGGTCACCTCAAGCCCCATCCCCAGGTGGCCAGACTGAAGCAGCAGCAAAGACAGTGCTGAGAGCTCAGTACTTTTCCTCCTCCCTAAACTTTTTCCCTGATAACCAGGTCCTGCTTCCTCCTTCTCCTATGTTTTTCAGAGGGACAAGGAGAAGGGAAGGACAGGGAGGTGGCAGAAGCTCCTGCCCAAGAGGAGCAGTGACTGGTCCCAGTCCAGCCTGAGGTGCTGCACTGGGGAGGGCTCACAGTGCCAGGCACAGCACAACGAAACCAGGGAGGGAATCCAAGGAAGGAATCAGACCAAACAGGCAACAAAGAGCTCTCACACCCTTTGGGTCGGTGCAAATCTGATTCTCCATTTCAGCATGAATTTTTTGAGTGCTATTAAGCCGTGTTTCACCAGAAGGGAAGTTTTTCCTTCGGAAGATACACACAGTAATTTCTTTCTCACAGTATCCTTTGTCCTTCTAAAAAGATTTACTAGGAAAAGCAGAAGTACCAGACAGCTGCACATCCCCCACAATACAGATAAAATTTGCTGCTTAATTAGGCATTGACATGTTTACTATAACCTTTACAGAAGAGTAACTTGTGCTGAGAAATCCTCTTTTTTTTCTCTCCGTGTAAGATACTGACACAATCTCATGTAAGTAGTAAAAGTAACCAGTTGTAGTATTTGAAAGAGGTCTACAGGGAAGCTGGAGAGGGACTTTTCATCAGGAACTGGAGTGACAGGACAAAGGGGAATGGCTTCAGACTGAAAGAGGGGAAATTTAGATGAGATATTGGGAAGAAATTGTTCCCTGTGAGGGTGGTGAGGCCCTGGCACAGGTTGCCCAGAGAAGCTGTGGCTGCCTCATCCCTGGAAGTGTCCAAGGCCAGGTTGGACGGGGCTTGGAGCAACCTGGGCTAGTGGAAGGTGTCCCTGCCCGTGGCAGGGGGTGGAACTGGATGGTCTTTAAGGTCCCTTTCAAGCCAAACCATTCTGTGACTCTGTGATTTTTAACTTACCAGAAAGCACCATCAAAATTTCACAAAACCAGCAGTCACATCTGTTTTAATGGTTTAGGGGTTTGGGCAGCTTTGAAAATGCATTTCAGTATCCTGCTTGTAAAACCATTTCTGTTTATGTAAATGATTTAAATTGCTGTGGGCATTTTAAGGACAGTGGAGACCAGTTCTACAAGACAACCAAGGTACCAGACATGAACGTGTCCTTCCAACAGGGTTTTTTAGTAAGATTTCATTGGACATGAAGTTTGATCTGAAGTGATGCAGCTAGTTAACAGAAACAACATTAATTTAAGTGGACTTTGCATTATTTATCTTAAAAGTAAAGGGTGTCTTAAGCCTGTACACCCAGATGCTTTAAATGCAGAGTCTGTAATAAGTAGCATAAATTTTGCACGTCGTACTGATGGCCGTGTAATAAATTGTTGAGTGACCTGTTCTCTTCCCACCAGTTCTCCCCCAGGCTTATTCTGACATTCCAAACCTCTGAGATGCTCGTACATAGCTGTTTTGCAGGGAAAAAAAAAAAATTAAAATTAAAGGAATCCAAACTCAATAAACAGATGAATAGCTTCCCGTTTTTCCCAGATGAGAATTTTCCCCACCAAAGTAAACAGGCCCAGGCAGATGGAAGATGGGCAACGTGCACTCCTGAAGAAGTGAAATTTTAATATCATTAAGACTGGACAAAACCCAGGAGCTTCAAAGCATCAAATGGAAGCAATTTCTGGCTTCTTAAATGGAAACACAGCATTTGGTTTAGTGGTGATTGATCCCAAGACAGAGTAGTCAAAATCACGACATCAGTAAGGAGAATATTTTCATATGGATAATAATCACAAATACAACTCTAAATTATTTGGGTTTTTTTAATTTTGCTCTGTGCTTTTGTGATGGAATTCAGGGTAACTTCAGAAAGCTGCTTCTCGAGGAAAAGGTGCTGCAAGAAACAGCTGATTCTTTATTCTTTAATAGAAAACACTTTCTTAGCTATTTCTAGACTATTTCCACTATTAGAGGAGCTAAAAGAAAACAAGTCCAGTTAACACACCTGCAAAAACTCTGAATGGAAGGGTCTAAAACCACCCACATCCACCTGGAGCCTTGGCCTTTCCCTGCAGGCAGCACCAATCCAGCTCCCAGTGGTGCTGGATCCAGGATTGATGTTCAGGCCTCTCATCTGTAACTGGCCCCACGTTATACATCATTCCTGACCTGGAACTGTAGAGTGTCAGTACATCTTTTTTTTAAAACATATTCATCCTGACTGTTAACTTTTCCACCAGTGGATACCATTTTCCCTCAAATTTGCTTTTTTTCCATGTAGAGAAACATTTCTTAAAATATATATATATACATATATATACATGTTCCTTTCCAAGACTGGAAAACTTATTTTCTGCCAAGGGAAGGGACAGTGAATCATTGTCCAGAACAACACACTAATCCATGTAAAACCCATCCACCATCTGCACTTCTTCAGACATATATATTCCAGTTTTACTTGAAACAACACCATCAGTGGAGCAATCTCACAGTGCTAGGAGGTGATCTTGTTTCCTTCTTGTCTGGCTCCAGCTCAAACATCTTTTTGTGTTTGGCAGAAACTGTTTCTTTCTCTGAAATATTTCAAGCAGATAATGGAGAATGACCACTTCTCATTCCTTTTTCTCAAAGATGTCGAACTGCATTAACTGCCCAAAGACAAATCTTAACCTGGCCCTTTGTAGAAGTTCAGAGCTACAGTTTCATCCCAGTTTGAAATCCAACCGAAGAGATAAATTGGCAGCTGGGGGGGAAAAAATTCCCTACTCCATTGCATAACTCCCTATCAAAGGCATTTTGGAATTTAACAGGAGTAAAAGCAGTGGAACACCCTGGAAAAGCAATGGAGTTTCATGGAAAGAACTCTCAAAATATGAAATTTGTAATACAAGAGTGAATTGTGCAATTTCAGAGCTTTTAAGGCTGTATTAAAAATTCCTGTACCAGGGAAATAACTTCCTGTTAAGATCTCCAAGGTGGAAAGAAAACACAGGGAAAGGTTCCTGCTCCCACCACGGGGGGAGCAGAGAGCTCTGAATGACGGGTCTCAGGGACAAAGGGACACCTCTGTCACCCGGTCTGAACATCCTGGGAGTGCCAGGTTTAGTTCTAAAGCCTTGTGCATCCCGAGGAGGGTTTTACACATCCCCAGAAAAGGCTGAATACGCTCA